AAAGTCAAATAAGCTGTCAGGTTCCACTTAACCTCATTCAAACTTCTTTTTCTGGGATTGTGGGGAGTGTGTGACTCCTCATTGTGGCTTCACTTCTTTCATTGTGAGCTCAACTCCAGCAGTGCAATACCCAGGGATCCTAAGACCCATACGTGGCAGAAAGTGAAATTGGACTTAACTCACTGAGTCAAGACACAACCAGTAAGATTCTTTTGGATTTATTCCAAATAAAAAATCACAATTTTTCTTTCAAATACTCAGCCCAGGTTTTCTTAAAGCATGGCTGCAGTTTGTTTAAATAAAATAGACCAGGATTATAACAGTTTTGTAAAGAATGACTGATACACAGACAAACCGATAGATGTTGTCCAGGTTCTTCATTTATCAGACACTCAGAGTGCATTAAACATGCAAGAGTTTGATTAGAGAAACTCCTGTGAGGGAAAATGGGGAAGAAGCCCAGGGGCTGGGAGAGCTCTCAGGTCACCCTGCAGGTGATTCCAGGAAAAGGAGAGAGGGAAGGACAGAAGCTGATGGACTGTCTTTACTGCATTCCTCAGAGTTTATCAAGCTCATCAGGAAACTGTAGGTTAAAACATCTATCCAAGGAGTCCTTTGCCTTCCAGGAAGGGACCTATCTCAGTGTCCCTGCCAAGCTCAGGCCTTAGCTGAGAACAGCAGATGGGAATCCCTGCAGTTAGAGATCTGAGGGGCTCTGACTGCCCCAGATAGCAGATGGATAGATGATATATAGATGGATGAATGGATGGATAGATAGATGATAGATAGATAGATGATAGATAGATAGATAGATAGATAGATAGATAGATAGATAGATAGAATTAGAAAATACATACTTATAGTACGTCTAGTAGTTTTCTCTAGGAGGGATTGTGGGACATTTGTAGGGGTTTTCCTTTGCTCTTTTGTTTCTGGACATTTCTACACTTCATGTATATTCTTAAGCAAATTCAGTTTAAGATTTCTACAAGTCTTTCTCTTTTTAAGTAATTCCTTTCCTAATATCAGCAATTCACAGTGTTTATGGGGTGTGTGTGTGTGTGTCTGTGTGTCTGATGCATGTGTCTGTTGCTTGTGTATGTCTGTTGTGTGTATGATGTGTGTCTGTATGTTGTGTGTGTACTTGCTTGGACTCACTGGCATCAAGCTTTCTGATTCTTCTTCATCTTCCCCAGCTTCCTCTCCTCCCAGAAAATACACTAGAAACATCTCTTTGTGGGAAGAATGCAAGCCTATTACAACCTTCTGCTCACATTCCCATATCTAACCACGCTTATTGCTATTGGTTACTTATTACATTGAGCAGGGAGCACTAATCTAATCTATACACTCAAAATCTGCATTCTAGGCTTTTTTAAGAAACATGATTGAACCATTTTGGGAATAAGCCACAGTTTAGGACCCTGTAAAATTCAAAATAAAATTATTTGTGCTCTGAGAGATTTATAATGAAAACTTACAGTCTGTAATACAAGTTAATTTCACCGTATGGTCATTTTGGCTATAAAAGCTGTACTACGTGGAGTAGTGTCCCCTAAAAATCCATGCTCACCTGGAACCTCAAGATGGAACCCTAACTGGAAACAGTGTCTTTACAGTTAATATTATCGAAGGCGAGCTCGCACTGGACTAAGGTGGACCCTAATCCAATGCCTGGTGTCCTTTAAGAAGGAGATGCGACACAGAGGAAACAGGCAGAGAAGGCTAGATGAAGATGCAGGCTGGGACTGCAGTGATGCACTCACAAACCTGGAACAGTGAGGGCTGCCAGCAGCCACCAGAAGAAGCTCAGAAGAGGCAAGGAAGGCCCTCCCGTAACACCTTCATGGGGAGCAGGGCCCTGCCAACATCTCGAGTATGGACCTCTAGTCTGCAGAACAGTGTGAGAGGATACATTTTTGTTAATCTGAGCTACCCAGCTTGTGGTACTTTGTCACAGCATCCCTAGGAGAGTCATACAGGAGTCAAGGCGACAGAGCCTCATTGTGGACCAAAAACCCATTAGCAGAGGGCCACCATGCAACCTCCGTGTCTGCCCACCCCCATCAACAAAGTGCATTGGCCATGAAGCGTCCTAGGTGCGGATGAGTGACACCTGAGCTACTTTGAGGCATGCCCCTCACTGCCAGCTCACATTCCAAAGCCCAAAGCCATGCTGTATGATGTTTGATATCTGCACATAAGGGAGTAGCAAAAAGTGTACCGTTGCATGGTGGCTGCAGCATAAATATGTCCGTTCCATAACCTCCTGCTGCTTTCACTTCTATCTGTCCCTAGAAGACAGCCTCCCTCAAACAAACGTTGAGACATTGTTCAGAAGGGAGAGCAAGGAGAAGGTCTTTGCCACTGATGCACTCTGACTGTTCATGATCGTGAACAGAACAAGACAGAAGCCTAGGGACAACCTTTGCACATGATCAGTCATTTACTGCCAACCTCTCTGTGGGAAAACAACAATCTTTTTTTTTTTTTCAAGATGGAATTTCATTCTTGTCACCCATGTTGGAGTGCAATGGTGCAATCTCAGCTCACTGCAACCTCCATCTACTGGGTTCAAGTGATTCTCCTGCCTCAGCCTCCTGAGTAGCTGGTATTCCAGGCATGTACCACCATGCTGGCTAATTTTCGTACTTTTTTTTTAAGAGACAGTCTTGCTCTGTCACCCAGGCTGGAGTACAGTAGTGTGGTCTCAGCTCACTGCAACCTCCACCTCCTGGGTTCAAGCAGTTCTCCTGCCTCAGCCTCCCAAGTATCTGGGAGTACAGGCACACACAGCCACATTCAGCTAATTTTTTTTTTATTTTAGTAGAGATGGGGTTTCACCATGTTGCCCAGGCTGGTCTTGAACTCCTAAGCTCAGGCAATTCGCCTGCCTCGGCCTCCCAAAATGCTGGGATAACAGGTGCGAGGCACTGCACCTGGCCTAATTTTTGTATTTTTAGTAGAGATGGGGTTTCACCATGTAAGCTAGGCTGGTCTTGAACTTCTAACCTCAGGGGATCCACCCACCTCAGTCTCCCAAAATTTGTGGTACTTTTTGAGCCACTGTGCCTGACCAGAAACAACAGTCTTTTATCATGATGGTGATGTTATAGGGAATCAGCAGAGGTTGGGCTTACAACCTGGAGGGGCCAGGACTAGGAGAGGGGCTGGAGGAGAAATGGCTATGGCTTCCTGCAGCTTGCAGACCACAGCAACAAACGGGTCAGCACGCACGCAATGCAGTATGCGGTTCTGGTAAGTCCTGAGGGTAAAGCCAAAGTCAGAACCCAAAGTCTGTCAAGCCACACCCAAGATCAGTGGTGACACTTGAGTGTCTCCATAAGGAAGATGATTCCCATTTTAAAAAGATGAGAGTCAAGGCCTGAGAGAGCCTGGCAGGGTGCAGCGTGAAGGGCCACGGCCAGCGAGGAAATGAGAGCCAACTGTGAAGATGAGGGGGCATCAGCAGTTCTAGAAGGTCCGTGCAGTCCTTCTGTGCCTCTGCAGCATGCAGAATACCATCACAGCCACGATTTCCTTGACGTTTAGGTTCCACCCTCTGCTCTGATTTTTTTGCGTCTTTCCTGGAGTAGATAGACAGAGGCTAAGAGGCATGCACTGTGGTTTCACAGGACTCTTTCAGGGGCTGATATTCCCGAAGCTCTTCATTTCCTGCAGAGATCTTCATTCAGCTCTTTTCTGTGTCTCATTATCTGTGCGCCTGCTGTTGCTTTTCAGGAGCTAGATCATAGTTCTGGGCTGTGGAGTGGCATGAAATAGTGATAAATAGATCTCTGCGGCTTCAAAATAAATGTTGAAATAAATAGAGAAATAGGAAAATTCAGAGTGTGTGTCACATAAGCTAGAATTGTTTGGGGGATTTGACGAAATGATGTGTGTGGAGGGTATAACAGTCAGGTTCAATCAGGAAAGACACACCACATGATAGGTTAGATAAAAAATGTTAATGTATTATAATGTGTTATAACAATGTGTTAACTATAATAAGGCATAATTACAAGGTATAAGCAAACTCTCTATGTACCCTAGGGCTGAGGGAGGTCACCCAAGGAAGGACACTCGTGGGAGGGGTTCACCTCTCACTGGAGAAGGTATGGACCAGCCACTGGGTAGCAGAGAAGTTGGCTGCTTTAGTCACACTGGAGCTGGTCTGGAGTTGCTGGGAAAACAATTGACCACCCTTTGGAAGGCAGGCAGGGCCAGACATCAGTCAGCAACCCCTGTGCCAGAGCTGTAGTGGGAGCCTGCACTGGGGAGATGGTAGAGGATCTTCAGAGAAGCAGGCTGCATGGGGGGAGGAGGAGAAGGCTCTTAGAGGGTGGGCTGCTTGGGTGGAGCCCTGGGCCACAGACACAATGCACATGGGCCATGGAGACAGGTTATCATGTTTTTTCTCATATCATAGCATGGGCTTTTTGCAGACAGGTTATCACCAGGCCAAAGCTGCAGGGTTGCAGGGGGATCACCTACAGGGCCTGTGGCTCAGGCAGGATCCACTGGAATTCCTCACACCCACGTGGTTGACTCTCCCCTCAGGCCCCAGAGAAACTGCAGTAAGCCCCTTCCACCTGCACCTGCAATGTCCTTCCGAGGCCCTCTACTGAGAGAGCTTAACCAGGTGCTCACTTAAAAGAAGAAATGCTTCAAGTAATTACACTGTCTATTATAGAACATGAATAGAAGGGTACATTTGGAATTTAGAGGCAATGAATTAACTGCCACTGAAAGCTTAACAGAGACTGACACGTAGTAGGTGCTCAGTGAATGAAAGCTGTGAGTATTACACTTTTTATTCAGTGAAACAGAATACATCTAAATTATTGGGAATACAGTTAAAACTCAGTCATCTTAGTGTTTTTTGTTGTATAATTTATTTTTGTGTATTACTTACCTAGACACATAGCTGAGAATCTGCATGCAAAGTATTCCCAGTTTGCATTAATCATTCATATTTATTTTATCTTTTTTTAATCTAGGTTTTATACAATATGTTAATTGCCTTCACAAAGATGCATAAATTTGAAGACATAGAACCTGTGGACATTTTGGCTGGATGTGCTCGATTCATCATTGTAGGGGTTGGAGGGGTAATGTTTGGCATCGTTTTTGGATTTATTTCTGCATTCATCACACGTTTCACTCAGAATATCTCTGCAATTGAGCCACTCATCGTCTTCATGTTCAGCTATTTGTCTTACTTAGCTGCTGAGACCCTCTACCTCTCTGGCATCCTGGCGTAAGTACAAACCAATGATCAAGTCACATAGTAATAAAAAGAAAGTTTAGGACCACGTCACCTGAATCAGGTATGTGGGAAAGGCAGGACTAATGACGCTAACCCTCAAAGGTGTTGCAGGATTTAGGAGTTTCTAAACTTTTATATTGAGTTCTTTGTCAAACGAACCTTCTCTTCAACTTTGCCTTTGTGATTTGCCTGAGAAGCGCGTAGTAATTATGATGTCAGTTTAGAAGGCTCAGTAGAGCTGGTACAGAGAAGATCTGGGGAAACTTCAAGGTTAAGTTATCATCCCGGTAGTGTGTTTTTTCCCTTGAAAAGTTAATTTTAAAGTCGAAGAGAGGCATGCATCAGGGACTGCCATTCCTGGGCTCTGCCTTCTGCTGTGGCCCTCAAACCACATCACACAGCCATGGCTCTTCAATATGGAATGAAACTAGGCAGATGGGATACGATTAGAAATCTACATTTCTTTGCCCTAATGCAAATATTTTGGAAATGCTGGTCCTTATGTCTTTGTATCCTTGAGATGTCTATCTTTGAATTAGGCTGCTCGGCTTGGCTTGTTATATCTGGTCTTCTTATCTTCTCTATGGCATTATCCTTCTTTCCAGCTATTAAGGAAGATACATTTAATTTCATTGAAGGCGAAATAGCTCTTTCAACTAAATGTGATAGTGTAAACTGTAGACATCTGTCACTTTCCCACCTGAAAAATGATCCAAACCTCTAAGACCAGGCAAGTTTCTTTCTTTTTCCCACACTTGCTTAATGGCACGCTAGAACAGGATTATTTGAAATAAAACCAATAAAAAAGAATCTTGCATTGTGTTACGTTTTGATAATTTATGTTTGGGTTGGAGGAAATGAGAGCCTTGCTGAATTATTCTATCTGTTATTTTGGTTTAAGTAAAGTAGCAAGTGTGAGTTGGGACTGACAAACTCTTCATGAAGAGGGCAAGAGAAAAGCATTCTGCACTGGGTGTGCCCATGGGAATTGCATGTCATTTTATTCCAGAAAGACCATGCCATGCCCACCTTTCCACCACATTCAGCTTTACCTTGTAAAGATCCGTTAGGGAGGGAAAAGAAGGAGAAAGAATATTTGTGAAAAATCTGCAGTCACAGAAGGGAATAAGGGGGATATTCTTCCTGTACCAACACAGGCTTCACGCATCTGTGGCATCACCTGTAGGGAGGGTGTTTTGTGGAAGAGTAAAATCTCGTGGATTTTCTCTGAGACTCTGCTCCTTTTGTAGAATTACAGCCTGTGCGGTAACAATGAAAAAGTACGTGGAAGAAAACGTGTCCCAGACATCGTACACGACCATCAAATACTTCATGAAGATGCTGAGCAGCGTCAGCGAGACCTTGATCTTCATCTTCATGGGTGTGTCCACCGTGGGCAAGAACCACGAGTGGAACTGGGCCTTCATCTGCTTCACCCTGGCCTTCTGCCAGATCTGGAGAGCCATTAGTAAGAGACAGCAGGGTCCCAGAGTCCCCGGTCCTCAGAGTCCCCGGTCCCCAGAGTCTCCGGTCCCTGCTACGTTTTCAGTTCTCTTATTCCCTTCTGCAGTGTAAAAGCTTTAGTACTGAGTGGATGCTAACCGGTTTTACCGGTTAGGGTAGACTAGGCACCTGGTTGTGAGCAGGAATCTTTTCTGTTTGTGGTTGATAAGGTTCTGCACTGAAGCCAGGCTGGGGCAAGGAGTATTTTTTTAATTGAAGAAAGAACTTTTACATCTACCTACTTAAATACAATTCAGTCAGTGAATCCCTTGCTCTTCACTTCTTTGCAGATTTATATCCTCTTGCACCTTAAATCAGAAATGGATTATAAACCGTGGGCATTTGTTTACACTTTCACTATAGGATAAGTGAAATCTCACAAACCGTATTCTATGGAAGGCAAATAATGGCAGAAAACATTCCCATAAATAGTACAGGTGGCTTTATTTGAGGGTTGAATGCGTGAATGTGTGATGTATAGCAAATAAAAAAATCAGGAAGTGAATATTTTTAAAAGAGCTTTGCATTAATTTGTAAGAACAACTCTAGAGTATAACTGGCATCACACCTGTAAAATGTAACTAGGCTTTTAAAATGAGAACTAGTGGCTGATGATTTCTCTTTTACATTTATGTTTCAGGAGCTAGAAAAGAACATTAAGCACTGAACCACAATAGATGGGTTGCCTTTTGACTCGGAGCAATTCTGTTTTTAAGTGTCTTGACTAATATTTGAAGCATGATGTTAAACGACTTTGACCAATATTTTCAAGCCAATTACTCAAAGAGAAATTAGGTGAAACGACTGAGAACCTATCTTGAACATATTAATTCTGAATTCGTTTAAGATGGGTTTTAGGCTCTAGAGGAGATTAACAAGAATGCAGAAATATTAAAATATTTGTAAGCAATTCTGAATATATATGTTTGTGGGGCTCCTTGGAAGGGAATGGAGGAAGCTGTGATACAAGTTTACAATCTCAATTCGTTAGTACTGGCCTTATTATAAACTAGCTGTTTGATCTTGGACAGACATTTAGCTATTCAAAATTGTCTTCCTCAACCACAGAAAGATGAATTTGAACAAATTTATTAGTTCTCTTTCAGTTCTAATACTCTAGGAATCTACAAGGGAGTAGAGCGAATGCCAAGAGAAGTAAAATTATGGAGCTTTAGCCCAGCCAACAAGAAAAGAAACTGCCTAGGAGAGGATTTATATTGGAGGAATATCGACATTGTTCATGCTTCATAATCCAGCTCAACCCCATGCTATCACAGTTGAGGAAATTGATGGAAAAACCACCAAGACAGTGACACAATGGGCCACATCACAGCAATTGACAGAGCCAGGTGTTAGAATCCAGTTCTCCCACTCACAGCCTGTTCTCTTCCCACCCTGACTCATCACAACTAAGCTTATGTAATAAGCTCACACTCGTGAAGGCTTATTACATAAAAGGCTGCATCTTATATTATTTATGGATGTTAAATTTATTTAATCCTTGCATTCGCATTCTGAGAGAAACACTGTGGCTACCCCATCAAGCAGATGTGGAGTCTGAGGACATGAAATGATTAAGAACCACCCCCAAGGTCACATGACTGGCATGTAGAGTAACCGGGACAAACACAACAATGTTTTAAAAAGTAAATTTGCTTGGGAGGCTGAGGCTGGTGGATCACGAGGTCGAGAGATCGAGACCATCCTGGTCAACATGGTGAAACCCCGTCTCTACTAAAATACTAAAAAAAAAAAATGAGCTGGGCATGGTGGCGTGTGCCTGTAATCCCAGCTACTCAGGAGGCTGAGGCAGGAGAATTGCCTGAACCCAGGAGGCGGAGGTTGCGGTGAGCCGAGATCGTGCCATTGCACTCCAGCCTGGGTAACAAGAGCGAACTCCGTCTCAAAAAATAAATAAATAAATAAATAAATAAATAAAAATAAATAAAAAAAAATAAAAAGTAAATTTGCTTCTCTCTTGCACTATCCATGCACCTATTATCAAAGAATTCTTGCTGGCAAGTTCGTGTGACTGGAAGTACATGAGGGTGTGGAGAGTTTTATTCTACTAAATGAAATGCTTCTTTGATTCATCAGAGCTTTAATTAAGGAAACTTTCCTACCAGGCACCACGCATTGGTGGTAGCTAGGTCATGTGGGCCACTTGGGGATGAACATCAGTGTAGTAAAAAACTCCTTTGTGTTTCAAACAAGCTCCCCGACCCTTCACCTTCTATTTAAGAAACTCACCGGCAGTAAGGGCACCCACTCACCCTCTAACCCTTTCCAAATTCGTTCCTTGTTTGCACTGAACTTCAAGAAGGACCATACCAATGATAAAGGATTTGATTGTAGAGACCACAGTCACTAAGAGTACCCGTCTCATTTTTAAATTGCAGACCTTCTTTGAGTACCCAATGAAAATATGAGATGATAAGAATGCATTTCTCCCCTTCACCCACTCAACAATATCCTTGCTTTGACTAGTTTTGAAAGGCAGGGCAAATATTATGAGTATAGATTAGAAAATATATACCTTACATTAAAAAAAATCAAGATTTTATTACTTTAAACACAGAAATGCAGACACATGCACATAATACATGCCAGGTTACTGTAGCAAAGATTCCCACTTGAAGTGCTACTATCTCACAACTAACAAAAAAGTCAAAAGCCATAAAAGGTACTTTACCTCTGATAGACAATCATGGGTGTGTGATGGAATTAGGCTTCATTGCCGGCAGGGCACACACACACAACTTCAGTTCATGAGCTCTGTATCTCTGCTCATTCATGACCCTCTGCTCTAATACATATTTCCCCCTTTCTAGGCGTATTTGCTCTCTTCTATGTCAGTAACCAGTTTCGGACTTTCCCCTTCTCCACCAAGGACCAGTGCATAATTTTCTACAGTGGTGTTCGAGGAGCTGGAAGTTTTTCACTTGCATTTTTGCTTCCTCTGTCTCTTTTTCCTAGGAAGAAAATGTTTGTCACTGCTACTTTAGTAGTTATATACTTTACTGTGTTTATTCAGGTAAGTAGATTTCGGTTATATTTAAAATAAATAGGTTATTTCAGGACAATTTATAAATTAATAAAATATAAAGAAATTTTATCTGATTTTCAGATCTTTGCTCAATATCCAAACAATCAAATTCCCAAAGATTTCTAGATCATGTTTGTGATCATCCTTTAACTTCTAAAATATATCGCCTTTAAGTCAATGCAGCATATTAATCAAAAGATTCCTGAGTAGCAGGTGACTAATAGCTACACTACATTTCTGAAGATGAGATTCCAATTAGTACTAGGTAGCACACATTTTTGTTTTAGTTGAGTTAGCTCCTAAGAGCTAATGAAAGTTTATTTTAATGGATGAGACCAAATTCCTATGTTAAAATACAGACAATATATCTATTTTTATTTCAGTACTTAAAGGAATTAACAACTGAAGTAAATATTGGAGCGTTTATCCTGTAATAGCCAGTATAAAAACATACAGATTAGACATTCGAATAGTTTTGTTGATAAATTTGCTCTCTCCAGTGACAGTCTTCATCACAACAAAACCCTGTATTTCGTTATTTCTGATCTAGGGAATCACAATTGGCCCTCTGGTCCGGTACCTGGATGTTAAAAAAACCAATAAAAAAGAATCCATCAATGAAGAGCTTCATATTCGTGTAAGTTATCACAGCATCACAATTAATAATAAGTTGCTTCCCCTTTGTCGCCATGAGATGTGTGCACATGCCACTAGACTTCCTCTTTCCTCCCCACCTCTACCAAGAGTGACTGTACAAGTTTCCTACAGCTGCTATAGGAAATTGCCACAAATTTAGTGGCTTAAAACAATGCAGATTTATTGTCTTCCAGTCCTGGAGGTCAGAAATTCAAAATTCAGGTGTTGCAGGCCTGTGCTCCTTTCTGGAGTCCCTGGGGAAAATCTGTTTCCTCACCTTCCCCAGCTTCCTGAGGCTGCCTGTGTTCCTTGGCCCATGGCCCCTTCCATCTTCAGAGCCTGCAGTGGCTACATCCCTCCAACAATGACCCTTATGCCTCCCTCTTCCACACTGAAGGAGCTTTAGGATCCCACTGGGTCCATGTGAATTATTCAGGAGATTGTCTCCATTTTAAGGTCAGCTGATTAGCAACCTTAAGCCTAACTGGCACTTAATCCTCCTTTAAACTGAACTACCATATTCACAAGTTCTGGGGATTAAGACATCGAGCGTTTTTCAAGAGCATTGTTCTTCCTACCACAGTCTGCCCTCTGTCTCCCAAAGATTCATGTCTGTTCCACATGCAAAATACCTTCTTTCTAATCCAACACCCCAAAAATCTCAATACACTGCAGCATCAATTCAAAATCCAAAATATTATCTGAATTTTATCAGTTCAAAAAACCCCAATCTCATCATCTCCATCATCTAGAGCAGGCCTCAGTGAGGCTCTGAGTATAATCTATTCTGAGGCATGATTTCTTTTCATCTATGAATTCTTGAAACTCAAGAAACAAGTTATCTGCTCCTAAAATAGATGGTAGGAGACTCATTGAATAACAGTTATAGCTATTGCCTTTCAAAAAGGTGGGGAAATAAAGTAAGAAAAAAAAGGATCCATCTATACCAAACTTTGAAGCAAACTTCAACGCTTCCTGGGCAAGCTCTATTTGGTTTCAAGGCCTGGGAATCCCTTAATCCCCTGCAACTCTTTGCTCTACCTTCTGGGTCCTCAACTTCACCCTCTGAATCATGCTTCCTTTTTAATAAAGGTAGCACCCATTTGCAGCTGAGAAATTTTATCTGTCTGTTTCTTGCTTATAGAATTGTGAGGGTCTGACATCTTTCTTACATTTTGTCCTCTCTTTTTGTCTAAGCTAGTGGTATTTCCATCAGGGTTCAACAGAGAAACAGAGCCAGCAGGATGATAGACACATACAGAAATAGATATATAGATATGGATACACATATATGAAGAGATTTGTTGTAACGAATTGTTTTTTGCTACTGTGGGTGCTTGCTAGGAAAGTCCAAAATCCATGGGACAGGCCATCCAGAAGGGCAGACTGGAACTCTCTGGCATAAACCAAAGCTGCTGTCCCCAAGTAGGATTTTTTCTTCATCAGGGAAGCCTCAGGCCTATTGTTAAGGCCTTTCAACTGATTGAATCAGGCCCACCCAGATTATCTGGGGTCATCTCCCTAGTTAAGACAACTGATAATCAGATTATTAATCAGATCTATAAAATTCATTTACAGTAACATCTAGAGTAGTGTTTGATTGAATAACTGGTGACATGCCTGGCTAAAATGATACCTCAAAATATTATCATAGTGACTAACATTCAAAGTCGTCCTGCTTGCTTCTAAAATCACTGTTGCAATGAAATATGAGGTCCTTTGCCCTTTTTGAACTCTTAATAGAGGAGGTGTAAAGGGTGCTACTTCTTTTGCAAACTTGGCTGAGTGGCAGATTTTAGCGAAAATATCCCAGTCTGGCAAAGATGAATACGACATTGAGCATGGTTTCTACCTGTTTGTTTCAGTTCGGCACAACGCTGAAGGGATGCCACTGTGTAGAGCTCCAAGGAATAGACACGAGAACTCATGTCTGAAGGGTTATAGGTGGGGACTTCCACTCAGTTAATGAAAGAGCATTCTGACAATCATTTTCTGATTGGCACACCTGAAGCTAAAGTGGATGTGTGTAACCTGTGATTGGAAACTTGTGACATAGTTGCTGTACATGACATTCAAGCTTTGAGGAGATAGTTGAACCTGAAAAAGCTTAGGTTTCTTCTATCCCTGAGAGTTCACCATTTTAATACAGGAGAAACGGATGAATGATGAAGTCTTCCAAAATCTACCCTAAAGTTCATGGTCAAAGTCACCTAGGAAATCTGGTTATTTAAATTCCAGGAAATTCAGATGAAAAATTTTCAAGGCCATTTGAAAATAATGAACAGATAAGTAGTGACTGTTTTATAATATGTAACACCTTAACCTGATTGTAGATTTTTGTCTCTATCTTTATCTCTTATAATTTATTATTTTGACAAATTAGATAATCCACCTAAGTCCATGAAACTTGGATATTTTACTCTTCTCTCATTTATTTTTCTTTTCCTCAAAAAAGTTATCATTTTTGGTAGAAGATAGTGAATCAATTATGTAAGAATTAATTTAATATTTGAATCTGTTTTTCAAAATAAAATTCAGAAGCCAGAATAGACTTCAATGATTTCAAATTTAAAATATTTGGAGACTAATTCATAATTATTTTGAAGATTGCACTTTTTCCTAAGTTTTCATAAACAATTTTGGATAAAACAAATACATGGTAAGATGTAAGTACTTAGATCAAACGAGCATCTTAAAATGAGAAAAATAGATATTTTGTTATATGTTATTACAGTAGAATATTTATAGAATTATATTTTCAGACATTATTGATTGGATAACAGTGTGATCTTTTGCAATGAAATTAAAAGTAACAGTTATTACTATTTTTTCATAGTATCTTAAATATATTTTATTATTATTATTGTCTTCCAAATGATTTCAGTAATGAGAAATTTCCTAGATCATTCTAGAAATCGATTATCCAAAATGCCAGATGCCCTGTTTTCATTACATATTATGTGAATTATCAAGAAACTTATCTACAAAGTCTTTAAACTAAATTACTATAAAAGGCATCAAATATTTTATTACATGAACAGAGTGATAGAAAGTCAGATATGCCCCAGAAAATTAAAGCCTCCTTTGTGTTTTAAAGGGTCTTATCTGTCCTGTGTGTCTTTCAGAGTTGGCTTTTCTCTGGCATTTTCTTGTGTTTGTTTGGCAGCTGATGGATCACTTAAAGGCTGGAATTGAAGATGTGTGTGGGCACTGGAGTCACTACCAAGTGAGAGACAAGTAAGAAAGCTGAGGATTTCACTCACTGACGAAGAATATGTGTGGCATGGGGAAGGGAGACCAAGCAGATGAAGTGCTCCAGAGCCATCCCCTACAGGAAGTAACTGAAATTCCAGGGCATGCTAAGCCTGGAAAATGAACAGACGTCAGGTGGAAGAAGCAGTAGACTTGGTGTAGGTTGTTTCAGAAAGAACCAGTACAGTGAATGGGTAGGAATTAGGAAAGTCAGGTTTAAGTTAAAAACAAGGACAAGGCCAGGCATGGTGGCTCACACCTGTAATCCCAGCATTTTGGGAGGCTGAGGCAGGTGGATCACCTGAGGTTGGGAGTTCGAGACCAACCTGACCAACATGGAGAAACCCTGTCTTTACTAAAAATACAAAAAAATTAGCTGTCTGTGGTGGAACATGCTTGTAATCCCAGCTACTGGGGAGGCTGAGGCAGGAGAATCGCTTGAACTTGTGAAGTAGAGGTGGTGGTGAGCCAAGATAGCACCATTGCACTCCAGCTTGGGCCACAAAAGCAAAACTCCATTTCAAAAAAAAAAAAAAAAAAAAAAAGCAAGGACAAGGTTCCCAATGATAAGATTAGATCAGATCTACCATGGAATGGCCAGCTTCAAGAGGTTGGAAAGGGAGTTTGGTGCCTGCTGAGGAATCCTGGGAAGGGAGTCCTCCATTGTGGGGGAAGCCATGGTGGAAGATCTTTAAGGGTCTTAAATATAATAATTCTTTTTAAAAATGCCCAAATCCTTCTTCTCCACCATATCTCACCTTTCAGAATGGACTGTCTTACTGGATTTAGTCTCCAGTTCAGGAGGGAGGTTGTAGCTGGAGACGAAGGTTGTCAGTTGTCAGTGAGTAGCTGGTAGTTCACGGAGGACCGGGCTCTGAGAAGCTCCCACGCTCCCAGTCTTGTTACTCAGGGAAGGAAAAGAAAGGGCAGAAGGAGACTGGGAAGAAGTGGTCAGGGAGGCTGGCAGGGATGCAAGAGCAAGTCAGAATGTGGAGGGTACAGAGGGAGGACGCAGCACATCAGGAGACACGCAGAACCCAGGAAGGTAAGGAGAAGGGCAGCCTCTGGAATTCAACAGGACAAGATTAAGGTGAGCTCAGTGAGAAGAATGTCAGGGAGGGTGTTTTGGTTGGGGAGGTGACTACCATGGGCCGAGAATACACAAAAGCCATGGCTTCTCATGAGGGCGGAAAACTAGAAGACAGACTATCGAGCCAGTCAGAACAAAAGGAGACCTGGTCTGAGCCGACCTCAGACAGCAAAGCTCAGGAAGCGAGCCCCTAACCCTGAAGGAACTTAGCTGACAGAGCCTGCACACCTTACGGACCAGAAAACCAATTGCCAGATAATAAGCCAGCAGCCCGGGAAGCTATGTGCGCCTCCGGAAAATAAAGCAGGTGGACAAACTACTCTTTGAATGTGAAATGATTGAAAGTGTTGAAAATTCCAACTCCAAACAAATGGCTGACTCTGAAGGCACCATATGCATAGCACAGCTCAGTCTAATGGGCCGGCCAGAGGCTCCTTACAATAGTCAGCGGCCATCAGTCTCGCCTATTCAGAGTCTCCATCATTCAGGCGATTGGGACATATGTAGGGTTTTTTTCTTCCCTTTAATTGGTAGGATTCAAAATGATCTGCAGCATAATGGGGCAAAACTACTGTAACTACCGGGCCATTTAAAGTTATTGGTTTCTGGTTGAATAGGCCAGTATTACTGTAAGTGCAGCTGCCGCTGTTATGAGCTATTAGAATGGAACACTTGTTCAAAAGCTTCAGCCCCCTCATTTCTTCTCTTACAATTGGAGCTGAGCTGGGCTGGGCCTCCCCCGCGCCTCACTTATGCACACTTTTTGCCCTGATTGCAGCTTGTCCCTTCCTTTTGTTTAGTTGATTTTCAATGTATTCAGGCCAGGAGGCCATTCTTTTTATATTTTGAAAAATGCATAAATACTATGAATTTTTTTTAAAAAAAGTGTTCAAATGCTGTGAATTCCAGGCACTGTCCTGATGTTTCTTCAGAATAAACTTAAGTAGTAAGTAGTTTGTTTTAAGAGAAATGCATACTTATGTAACACTTATAGACATTCAAGATTTCCAAAATGTTGGTTTTTGTTTTTAGGTTTAAGAAGTTTGATCATAGATACTTACGAAAAATCCTCATCAGAGAGAACCTACCCAAATCAAGCATTGTTTCTTTGTACAAGAAGCTGGAAATGAAACAAGCCATCGAGATGGTGGAGACTGGGATACTGAGCTCTACAGCTTTCTCCGTACCCCATCAGTAAGTCCTGTCTGTTCTTTGTTCTAAACTTTCACTGTCAGAATTCCAAGGGGCACTAACTCATTGCCTCATTTAAAGGTATACGAGGAGAAAAGAGGCAGAAATATGAGGAAGAAATTACTTTAAAAATATGTAATCTAAGTCTTGGCATTTTTATGGTATGGCCCAAGCTCAACATATTTTACCTAGTTTCTGAAAAATTACTTTCCAGCAAATGTTGCTTACTTAGGGCTGTGTGACACCTTTCTTTGGGAGGGAAGGGCAAGTGAATGTGTAGAATCACAGCATATTTCACAAGACCGCCTCATTTTCCTCCTGACATGACCCCTGTGCATGTGATTCTATCCTTCCTACCATTGTGCTTCTTCCCATCAGCCATTTCTCTTCCTCTTACATGAGAGATGAGTTAGCTTTCTGAGATAACTTGGATTTGGGAATGAGTGATGATAGCAAGAGGTGTGGTCATTGGTGGGTTATATAAAGAGAAAGTTGTGTTTGTAATTGCATGTAAGGCGAAGGTCTACCTGAGACTGTGAAATTTGCCTTGAGTCTATGTGAGACCAGCTTGGAGTAGGAGCAGGGAGTTGCCTGGATTTCTGGGAAACAGAGGACCACAGGGCGTTGTTGTGGAAGCAGGACATAAGGAGGGGAGACACTGGAATATACATCCATCATTACAAGATGATTTTCTCTGCAATGTGGTAGAGCCTCTGGTAGCCACTTGTCCCAAGAGCTGGCTAAATACTTCTTAAAACTGTTAATGAGAACCTCTTCAATGTCAAAAGAATTCATTAATCTCCCAAAGATGCCCAGTTTTTCTCCAACGAATGGTTTATAAATTGGGAAAATTAATCACAACACATATTTAGGATAAGGAACATGGGCACCCTCCATCCTGTTGTCTTCTGCAGGTAAAAACACTTGATCATATGCTTCAATTATGTCTTCATATTTAAAAAGCAAGTTGGAAGAAGAGCTAAGAATAGGTAGCAATAAAATTGTCACTATTGCCTGAGTGTTATTTCTGAGATAATACCTTCATCCCTTGCCTGCTAATAAATCAGAAACACCCTTGCATTTCTTACATGGCCTGAGAAGAATCTTAACTAGCATCCCTGAGGATATCTCAGTATAATAAAAAGTTTTCTGCCTTATTTCTTAGTGACTTTTCTCTGGGAGTCGTGGTAGGGGTTTGTTGGTTTGTTTTGGTGCTGCCCATCACACGGCTTTAAGGAAATTTCTGATATTAAAATGGAAAAGTGCTGACAAATATATATATATTGGCAATGTTCTGCTGCATCACAGTGGAGCCCCAGGCAAAGGAAACATCAGGCATATCGATCCTCTTTTTATTTAAAATGTTGTTATTATATTTGTCAAGAATTTTTTGCATTGACCTTTATTTCTAAAAATTTTGCGTTTAAATTTGACTTTTCTTAGTTACTGAATTTTTTGGAATCCTCTTGCATTTGACACCTTTGATCAAATCCTGCCTGTTAAACACTTCGTATGTGCCAGGCACCATGAAGCAGACACAGGCCTTGCCCTCATAGGCACCATACTCTGCTGGTTGGGTCACGACATTCATAAAAAAGTCCACACAAACATAATCTTAAAGAATAGAGAGCTATGCAAGTCTATGAGAGGTGCACCTCACCTCACCTGGGCTTCTCGCCTTTGACCTGCTCATTGAAGGATGAATGCCAGTTAATGCAGTTCAGACCATTAGAAACTTCTTCAAATGCTTTGCTCACTTATGTGAGCTCTTGGTCTAGGAAGGTAGGGGTGTTATCTCAAATGAGAATCGGTCTGCCGGGTGGTAAAGCATATTTTGAATTTTTGTATTACATTGCATTAGCCATAAGCATTTGACTTAATTTCTGACCTCAAGGTAATCTTTAAACCAGTTTTATTCAGAGTGGGGCCTGCCAGTCGAGTCAATAATTCTTTAGAAATGAATTTAAGATTAGTGAGAGAGCCTTATAGGTACGAGATCATTCCTTTTCCTTCTATAACCCAAGCAGTTAGTTAACTGGGGTGGGAGAGATTTTTTAAAGTTGATATTTAATACATATTTAGTATTTAAACTGCATTTATTTGATCTCATCAGAAATCTGTAGGACATGAAGCAAAAAGGAATTCCTCTCCTAAGATCAAAGCAGCAAATTTTTTACAAAACAAACCTTCATACAATAATAGGAAAAAGAAATGTGTACTCAGTTTGCTTTTTATTATTCTGCATGAGATTATAACAACAAAATGCACAGGTATTTTTTTCCTTAGAAGTTCAAGCAATTGTTCTACAAAAGGTTTAGCTTTTCGAATTCTATGACGTTCAAGAGAATGCTGCCACCATGGTGGTCTATTTACAGAGTTTGGATGGTGTTGATTGTTTGGAATCCTGTTACTTTTACATACATTATCTTCTTTTAAACTTAAAGCAATCCTATGAATACGTAGAATATGCACTTTGATTACTATTTCAAATATGAAGCATCACATCTCATCTGTGAGTAAGCTGTTAGAAATTATCAGAGATAGAGGCTCAAGCTGATTTGAAGCTTTAAACATTTTTTGATTAAAATTAAAGTGATACTAAAATATTTATATTTTTGTAGGCATAACAAATGACAACCATACAACCTCAAAATGTGTTTTAAAACTCTCAAATAATTTTAATATGTCATTTATTTTGTAAAGAGACCTAAAGTAACTTCATTGTCGTCTAAGAATTTCCTAATGGATCACACACTGAAAGGTATAAATCCACATTTCCACATTCTCACATGGAAGACTAGGATGCAGATTCTGATGCCATTTTTCACTTCCACAAGGGAACACCGTATTTTGAGGAGCAGCAACATCTTCTCAGCCACTCATCACTCATTCTAAATGTTGGTCCTCTTGGTGACCTCTGTAAAAAGATGCGAAGTGGCTGCACACACAGGGCGGCTGGTGGGTGCCACTGTGTGCACCACAGGCAAGTCTTCCTGTCATCTGAGCCTACTTTTCCCACAGACTTCACATCTAAGCTGCTTACAAAAAGGTATATTCTTCTAAATGAATTAGTAAATAAGATTTGATCTTTTGGAACTTCATACTATGACACGTGTATTCTACTAGATGTTGTAGTAGAATTGAAGCCTCTTTTTCCATTACTATAGTAATGGACCAAAAGAGACAGAGAATGAGGGCAGGTTGAAGAGAGGTTGATTAGTGAGAACAAATATACACTTAGATAGGAGAAATAAGCTCTGGTGTTTGATAGGACAGTAACGTAACCATAGTTTAACTGTACATTTCAAATGTTTTGAATGTTTCTAATATAAAGAAAAGATAAAAATGTAAGGTGATGGATATCCCAATTATCCTAATTTGATTATATGACTGTATCAAATTATCACATATACCCCAAAACTATGTACAACTATTATATATCAATATAAAAGATAAGTAAAAAGAGTTATGAGAAATATGAACATTGTATCCAAGTATACTTAGGTTCAGATTTTCCCAGTTTGACTGCAATTATGGCAGAATTTTTATTTAAAGTGCCGAAGATCTTCTTTATGGATAATGAATGAATGGTCCAGTGACAAGAGTCTTGGTTTATAAGTTAATTTGACATAGAAATGATACTCATTCCGTTTTTCTAAGGATACATCTCCTGTGCTTGTGCTGTGAGTATTTCAGGGATGACTTTGCTAATGAAGTGGCATGAAGGAAACTCCAGGTATCACCTCGCCCAGATGAGTCAATTCTATAGCTGTAGATTGATAGTTGCTGTAATTCTTTAGCTGCTGCTTCTCAGTGTGGCTCCATGAAGGGAAATGCCTTTGGTATACCTGGAGTGCTCATTCCAGCCAGAGCCTGAATGGACTTTAACTAAGTTCGTCCTTCCCAAAGTAGTCAGTTATAAACTGGGAAGAGTGCCAAGTTAGACCTACTGCTCTATCAAGTGTAACTGTATTACCAATTCCTTTTTCAGTGGTTTTTCCTATTTGGTTGTTTCAGCAGAAAGTGGAACTATTTGGCTAGCTGTTGTTTCTGCTTAGCAGTACATCACACTCACCACATTGAAGGAATGTGTTCAGATTGTGGAAATGTGTGGGCATATCTAAATCGGAATAAATGTTATTTGAAGGACATTTAAACAGTTAGGTTTAAATGTACTGATAATAATGTTTAGATCACCAAGGGTGGCAACTGTGTGTCAATAGAGGTGACATTCACAGCGTTAAGATATGGAAACTGGTTTCAATCAGTTTGCAGAAAGGGTATTAGTCAGTCTACAGACAGCATTGCCAAACAAAATCCAGGCATGCTCTGATAGCCAGTGTCCAAGTCCTTTAAGATATTTTTTCAAATATACATTTCTTTTAAAATGTCTTCGCTATTTATGGCTGTATTGCTACTGATGTTTTGAAAAATACTTAAAAGGTGGCCTGTATTAAAACTAATAACTACTCATATCTGTGACCAATTATTTTAAGAGCATATGCAAGAAGGTATCAAATACTTCAATGTTCTTGTGCATTCAAAATTCAAAAGAGCTGCAGCTAGAAACAAACAAACGAACAAACCCATTAGGGTTTATATCAAGATTTTAAGGAAGTTGATAGTATTAAAAAGGAAGTTAATTATTTTTAGTTCTCTCTTTTTTGTTCTTATGTTTCATTTGGAATGTATATTATTCATGTAATACCAAGTTTTTTTTAATTACTGCCACTGGATTGTAATCAAATACATTTGTCACATGAGAATTCTTCCCCTAGCAATGTCAGGACTTTGAAATCCCCAGAGGACAATTGTGCATTGACTGCTAACCTGGGCACAGGCATAACCTGGCTTTTAATTCCTTCCAGGGGCAGGAAGGGGTCATGGTGCACAATATCTCAGAGCTGGGCTGGCTCTCATGGTATAAATGGTCTAATTGCCCTTGTAAAATGTGATTCTGGTTTCTTCAATTATTTCTTAACCAAAGGTAAAATCCTTACAGGTACAATTCCAATATAAATGTACTCATGAAACTAATATTCTGTTAGGTAAATGCTAATCAAAATGTGGTGTGTACATGGTATTAATCTGTGAGTTGTTTGTCACGTGTCCTCAGTGAGATAGGTAATTATAAAACTAGCAAAGAATTTGCCTTTCACTGAGTCAATGTTTTTTCTGTTGCATTTAACGGCAAAATATTTGGATTGCATGGCGTGGTATAATTTTCTAACAATTGATTTTTATTGTATTGTACAAACATTTCAATTCACAACAGATTTGGAGGAAAAAATTAATGTGTTTGTTATCACTTTAGGCCTTTTTTTAAAAAAATGGGTTGAAATAATTACTATACATAGGATATCAATAAAGGAATGGTATTTTTGAAACCTAAAGTCAAGACACATGTTCTGACATTTCAAATCAACTTACGAGAACGACAGGAAAAATTACGTTTAGGATTCTAGAACTTAGGATGCCTCTCAGTACAGATCAAGGCCCATTGATATTTTTGTGGTACCTCTTGCCAAATGAGAGAATAATGCTTGTCTCTTCTCCAATGACTATTCCAGGGCCCAGAGGATACAAGGAATCAAAAGACTTTCCCCTGAAGATGTGGAATCCATAAGGGACATTCTGACATGCAACATGTACCAAGTTCGGCAAAGGGTGTGTATGAGCTACCTGTGTGGTCCCCATTGTCTGTTCTTGAAAACAGTCCTTCCGGAGTCCCCTGATGCTCACATCACCCTCTCTAAGGTGGTCTCTTGCTGAATATTTTCTCTCTGCTTAGCTTGGAGAACAGAAAGTTAATTGCCACGTTTCTGCTGCAAAATTGGCACCTGTGGCATAAAAAGAAACGCAAATCTAGTTATCGTCTCTAGGGGGCAGGCTGCCCTAGCCCTGCAGCCTGGTGCTTTCCAGAACCAGCAGGTCTCTCTACAGAGAAGCTCATCGACCACACTACAGAACAAATATGGCACCAGGATGCTGATCACAGTGCAGTTGTCTCAATTGTATTGACTACAGTAAAGATGAGAAAGTTGAGATAGTTCAGGTTAGAATATTGAAACTATAATTTATAATGAATAAATGCCTGAATAAAAAGAGACATCTTATTTCTTAATTTTGAAACTAGATATGAAATCTATACTAGTCCTTGGGACCTGGTCTAAAGTGCATACTAAGAACAATTCTGGGGGAAGTAGATGAATCTTTCTGAAACTTTGATTTAGTTAAATGATATTTATCTAATTAGTCATCTAACAAAGTCATCTAATGAGAAGTATTTTTAAGTTTGAGGATTTGATTGTCCATCCTAATTCTAATACTTGGATGCGATTAGAAATGAATTCACTTTGAGGGCCTTTGGTTTGGTGACATTGATCATAGTCTTAAGGAAACTAAAAAAAAATCATCTAGGCAAAACTCCTCATTTTCAAAGAGAAGATGCTGAGGTTAGTGGAGTTGGTTACCTGACTTCTTCAAGGTCACAAAACAAATCCAGGTTACGAACACAGGTCTTCTACCCACCCACCCTGTGCTATTTTCATGACTTCGGACTTACATAAGCCAATGAAAGTTAATGTTCTCTGGTCTCCTGTTTCAACTCAAAGGTCAATGATTCAAAGGAATGTGTCAGTGAGAGGCTCTGTACCAGCTGGAGGAATACAGGTCAGCATCAATTGGTAGTGTGCTTAGAGTAAATTCCAAACTTGTCAAATCATTCCAAGTGAAACTGTTTCAGTAAGACTATCACATCTTGCCTTAGATAAATAATAGATAACTTCCTGGTTTGAAGAATGTGGCTAGCTTAGTGAGAACCAGAGCCCAGAGAGTGCCTGGTACTCAGCCTTTTCTCTATGTGAATGAAGGTCAAGTTTAGAGAAAGGTCTGGAAACAGGTGGAGATGCTACAACTCCAATCCAGTCTAAGATAAGGTCGACTGCTCATCCTTTTGTTTTTTCCTTGGATGCAGGTTCCAAGATAGACTCCTTTCTTCTCTTTTAATAAGTATCCCATGCAGTCTGCCTTCCAGAGTTCTACCTTCTAAACTACACAGCATCTCCCTTCCTTGTTGCCCTCAAATTAAAGCACATAGTCCTCTTTCCATTTAAAGAGTTTATTGCTGACCACCATGGGAGCCAAATAGGGAGAACACAATTGAAAAACAGAGGGCAGTTACAAGCCTGTGACATGGCTTTTTGACTCTGCTTTGCTTACTTCACAAGTCAAACTCACCAGCCCTACCCCTTCCCATCTTCCTTTCCTTACTCAGCTTTACAGAGGTCTTGAGAATTCTCTGTTCCACCAAGGTCCTCTTGATCTCTTGAAGGGAAAGTCTACCTAAAAATGCAATTCAGGACAATTATATATCTACTCTGTTTCTAGCAGACAATCTACATTTTTGAGGAATGTCGCAAAGGGTCTACACTGGCCAACCTTCACTCTCTAGCCCGGGTGATAGGCCAGGGCATTTCTCACTGTTCACATTTTGAAAGAGACCATCCTGGGCATCAGGATTTACTTCAGGGCAGGACCAGAATAAATGCAGAGTTTAACTCTGAGCAACCCTAATGTATAGTTGATCTGAAACTGAGCTGGCCCTGCTGGATCCGTTGCTCCTAGGAGGACTCCAGCCAATCCTGTTTGAAGTCCTTCCACTCAGCACACCCAGAACGGAATCTTCATGGGTGGAAAGCTTAGGGGACTCACCTCTGGGGGTTCCTGGTAGGACAACCACAGAGGAAGCTCTCTGAAACACAGTGGGAATGGAGACAGAGAAACGCTATTTCTAAACGTACAAGAGAAGAAAGCAGCTTTAGCCTAGACCCCCGGGATAGGTCACAGATTGATGGGTGTTTCCTGAGTAGCCTGGATAATCAGATCATTCTCAGAATTTCTGCATACTTTCAAAGGAAGAGAGCAATTTATCCAATTTCAGTTTCCTTCAGCAAATAGTTAATGCACATCTAGAATGTGCCGGGCATCAAGAACACTGCACTGAATAAGAAAAGCTTCCTTCTCCTCTAGGGCTCAAGGTTTAGTGGGAAATACAAGCTCCACTGTAACACAGAAATGGAGGGAGTGGAGGAAAGAAACTTGCATGCACACTACCTGCATAGAGCCTTCTATGCTCCCTGTAGACAGGCAAAATAGAGAAGCACGTGGGTTATGGGAGGTTATGGGAAGTGAAATGGGAAGCCAAATGTCCAAGTGTTCCTTAAAATATACTGCCTTTTCCCAAGTCTAGGTGTAGGTCTAGGTGTAGGAAATCCTACTAGCAATACGTTGTGTGTATACAAACACACACACATACACACACACATACACTGAATTCAGTTTTGCATGACTTTAAAATTGATGAACAATTATAAAAGTCTGTCTTTACATTCCTAATTCTTGGTTTATTTTTCACAACAGTGTCATGTTACCATTTCAAAATTTTTCAACATATAAGATACACATAGGTTGAGGTGTATTTACTAATGATTGACAATAATCCATATTTCAAACTGTCTTCACAATTCAACTTTTTGGGCCAAATTATTGTCCGATTTGTTAATTTGCTAAAAGTGGATGATAAAGAGCTCCCGTTGGAGGAAGGAGAAAGTTGGCTTCACCCTTCCCTCATTGTTCCCTTGGCCTTCAGTTTATGCCTTCGTTTATTTCCCTCTTGGAGACAGGTGTCACTCTCACTCTGCTACCCAGGCTAGAGCACTGTGGCATCATCACAGCTCACTGTGGGTTTGACCTCCTAGACTCAATTGATTCTCCCACCTCAGCTTCCTGAGTAGTAGGACCACAGGTGCATACCAACACCCCCAGCTATTTTTGTGTGTTTTTTGTAGAGATGGGGTTTAGTCACATTGCCCAGGTTGGTCTCAAACTCGTGGGCTCAGTGATCCACTTGTCTTGGGCTCCGGAAGTGCTAGGATTACAGGCATAAGCCACCTTGGCAGTCCAGTTTACACTTTCTTTATGATGCTATTTTTATACAATTATCTATTTTGTGAGAGCTACTTTAATTAATAGATAATGAAAATTACAAATCTATTTAATGGGATGTACATACACTGAAACATGAACAATGAACTAAAAGCTGGTGAAATAACTGCCCTTGTCAATCCCTTGTTGACTTGACCGTCTCATGTATGGACTGAATGAGGGCACATTATAAATTCACATATTAAGATGTATGGATTGAGTGAAGGCACATTATACATTCATATATTAAGTACTAATAGAGCTTAATCTGTTTTGTATTTATTTGAATACAAATCAAAAGAAATAGAAGTATTAGTATTTTTGTTCCTCACCTCATGGGGCGTCTTGTGGCACTGTTTGAAGTGTGTGCACCCACCTAAAAAACACATGGCCTGAAAAATTCAGCCTCTACTCCTTAGCAGGCTGCCTGTGGCCTGGCCCCAGCCCCTCCATGCCCTTCCAGTCTCACCTCTCACAAACTTTGAATGAAGCATCCCATTCTTTTGTGGTAACAGACCCATTCCTGGCTCTTTCCCAGCACATCCTCTGACTGTCCTCTCACCTCCAAGGTGGTTAACAGCTGATGTCTTAGCTCCTGTGTTTCCTCTTCCTGGAATTTATTCTCAGGATAATGCTCACTCATCTTTCAAGACTTCTCTCAGTACACTGAACCTTTCCAATCCAAGAGTGGATGAAGTGCCCTTTGCCTGTACTCTGTAACCCCCGATGATCCCAAAATCTTATCACTTACCTGCACACATAGCATCTTATCCCTATTGGTTTAACCTCTCCAGGAGACCGTAAGCCTTTTGAAGACTGTAATTCTGATTTACCCACTTATTTCAATCCTGTGCCTTCCACAGCACCTGTCACATAGAACATTTTCTCTATTGCAGTTGAACTGACTACCTCTATCACAGCACCCATCACTTGGGAGGGAGAGCACCTGCAGTCCCAATCTTGTCATGCACTAGGACTTTGTGGTTTATCAGTGCACACAGTGTGTCACCTATTGACCCCTAGCAAACTGAGCATTCACTAGTGGACGTTTAGTCAGCACCAAGAGGGAGAAGAAATTTCAGTTAAGCATTTCGCCAGCATCTGTCTGAGGACTGACTGATGTTGACCTATGGTCCATGACAAGTTTCCATTGGTCTGGGATAAAGGACAAGGAAGACATTCTCATAAAGCTAAATTGATTCAATTTGAAGGACTTTTTAAAAAAAATCTCAGATTATATTCTTCCTGTGATTTTGATTAAGAGTCTTTCTGAATTGATAATGGTGATAGAAATTGTGTTGGGGGGTATCCTTAATTGGCAAAATTAAAAAACAACCCTATGGAAATTCACAAAGTAGTTTGGTTTTGGTGTCTTCCTTTCCTGTTAAATTCATTGGCCCGGCATCAAAAACATGACCTGGAAAGGAAAGTGTGTGTATGGGGCAGGTCAAGTCTGTGGGTAACTAAGGGAATAGCTGCTGTAAGGATTAGAGCAGAAGGCAGAGGCTCCAGCCACAGCTGCGCCCTGAGAGCGGTGACCTTGGATCACAGACTTCTCTTCTTGGGGCTGAGGCTTGCTTGTTCATCACCAAGGCAGTTGCTTAGCTTCCCTCCAAGGTGCTCACCCGCTCTCCTGGTCTTACGTTCCTGATATTTCCATGGCTTCCTTGGCTGAAAGTTGTATGGAGGAGTCCTTAAGTATTTGACATTCTGTTTTCTCTGCAGACCCTGTCCTACAACAAATACAACCTCAAACCCCAGACAAGTGAGAAGCAGGCCAAAGAGATTCTGATCCGCCACCAGAACACGTTAAGGGAGAGCATGAGGAAAGGCCACAGCCTGCCCTGGGGAAAGCCGGTACACTGGGGCTGGGGACTGCGACATTCCTTCAGTCTGCAAATGTTTGTCACCTGCTGAGCCTGTTCCTGTACAGGATCTTCTCACATGCATGACCATTGATATTTAAACAAACAAAACCTCACCTAGTTACCTGAGAGGTATAAAAGTAAGAGTGCAGGACACCAAGGCAACCTTTTTCTCTGGGTCCAGGGCCTTAGGGATTCAAGGCATCTGCCCATAAGCTTTTGCCTTCCATGGTGGGACAGGAACTGCAAAGCACCCGTTGTGCGGTGAGTCTAGACCCAGGCCTTATGATGACCAGGTACTGACCATGCCGAGGTCTCCCTTCAGTCCTCATGGTCAGTGCCTGGTCACTATGGGGTCTGGATCTGGACCAGGCCCTCTGACCCTAGGGAACTTACTTCTCTCCCAATAACATATAGGAAAGGATTGCTTGTTACCAAGGCACCTGGGCTCACCTCCACATCAGCCACTGTGTTCCTGCACTCTTCCCATTGGAGGCCATAGCATACCAGTTTTACTGGCACTTTGGATGGAGGCTGGGTGAGAAGCAGACCCTAATCAGAACCTAAACTCAGTGGGGATAGGGGGTAACTTTAAAAGGTTGCTAATGGTTTATTTTATCATGAGAGGGAAAGGAAATACATATTGGAGACTAGCATGTTCTGCTTTTTTATTTTATTTTATTTTATTTTTTTGAGACGGAGTTTCACTCTTGTTACCCAGGCTGGAGTGCAATGGCGCGATCTCGGCTCACCGCAACCTCTGCCTCCTGGGTTCAGGCAATTCTCCTGCCTCAGCCTCCCTAGTAGCTGGGACTACAGGTGTGCACCACCATGCCCAGCTAATTTTTTCTATTTTTTGTAGAGACGGGGTTTCACCATATTGACCAGGATGGTCTCGATCTCTTGACCTCGTGATCCACCCGCCTCGGCCTCCCAAAGTACTGGGATTACAGGCATGAGCCACCACACCCGGCATGTTCTGCTTTTTCTAAACAAAAGGAACTAAAAGCCAGTAATGCAAACAAGATGCCAAAGAACAGGTCTGTGTTCTTCCCTTTATTTTGTTTTACTTTACTTTTTTTTTGTTTGTTTTGTTTTTTTTTTTTATTTTTTTTGAGACAGAGTCTTGCTCTGTCACCCAGACTGGAGTGCAGTGAGTGGCACAATCTCAGCTCATTGTAACGTCACCTCCCAGGTTCATGCTATTCTCTTGCTTCAGACTCCTGAGTACCTGGGATTACAGGCGCCCGTCACCACACCCTGCTAATTTTTGTGTTTTCACTAGAGCAGAGTTTTACCCTGTTGGCCTGGCTGGTTTTGAACTCTTGACCTCAGGTGATCCGCCCGCCTCTGCCTCCCAAAGTGGTGGCATTACAGGCGTGAGCCACCGTGTCCAGCCCTTCCCTTTATTTGCCATGTGAAGCTCCTAATTGAAGCAGCTCATTCTGCGTTTTCTCTCTACTTGCTATTCACAGGCTGGCACCAAGAATATCCGCTACCTCTCCTTTCCCTATGGGAATCCTCAATCTGCAGGAAGAGACTCAAGAGCTGCTGGGTTCTCAGGTAAGCTGCACACCTGGCTGCTCTGCTGCTTTTCTGTAGTCAGATGGTAAATATCTGGGAGTGTGGACCAAGAGGCAACATCAAGAACATTATGTAGGTTACTTACACAATAGGAAAAAGAAGAAAACAACTTCTTTCACAGATGATCATAAACAGAACTTTGTTTATGATCACTGAAATTTGAATTTCATATAATTTTTACTTGTCATGAAATATTGTCTTCTTTTATTTTTTTTCAGCCCCTTAAAATATACTGACAATCTGTAGCTCACAGGCCATACACAAAGAGGAAGCAGGCCAGATAGAGCCCAAGGGTCATAATTTGATTTCCTCTTGAAGAAATGTGAAAGGGGGTTTCATTGAAGTTGGCATATTTACCCACCATTTAAATATGAGCAGAATTCTCCAAAGCTGGTTTAGTTTCACTGGAATGATTTTCACCAAATTTACTGATTAAATGTTTCCCATTTAATATTTAATTATTAAGTGGAATTCTTAGAATTATCAAAACTTTATTATTCCAATAAAAGCAAAGTTACTATTTTTATATGTGTATAAAATGATTTGCTATTAGCAAAAGGTGACAAGGAAGAAATTCTCATAAAGCTAAATTGATTCAATTTGAAGGACCATTTTTTTTTTAATCTCAGATTATGTTCTTCCTGTGATTTTGGTTAAGAGTCTTTCTTTCTGAATTGATGATAATGGTGATAGAAATTGTGTGTGTGTAACTATCCTTAATTGGCAAAATTAAAACACAACAACCCTATGGAAATTTTAACACGCCATGTTATCTATTTTTATTTTCCTAATTTTTAAGTGTTAAAATCATGTTGGAAATTCAAGGAAACTAAACATATAGGATTTTAGAATTCAATGTTTAAGGAGTATATATAATTACCTCAAAATGAAAAGTTTTTCTGATTTAAAAACATACTTGATACAAAATCAAAATCAATCAGTAGAGAAAAGCATAAACAAGAAAGTCAAAAGAACTTACAAACCTCAATGCCAAGGTATAATCACCATAGAATGTTTTGGTGAGCTTCCTTCTAGACTTCTTCCTATACCCACCTGACCCCCACACTACCCATACTGACACCTGCCCCCACACAAAAAAAATCAGAAAAACTTGGCATCATCTTATACATAAAGTCAAAGTACAGTCATTGTTTTGCAATTTTTATAAATTGCCTAGTTCACCAAACAATATATTGTGCATAGGTTTCCATGTCAATAGATATGGCTCTAATAGTCATTTTTAATGAATGAATAATAGTTCATTATATGCATCTACCAAAGCATATTAAGCTACTTACTAATTAATAAATACAGTATTATTAACTTTTACTACATATAAACAGTAATATATAATAAGCACTCTGGACCACTTGTGATTGATATTTTCACAAATAAGCAATTATTCCCTTAGTATACTTTCCTGGAAGTAAAATTTTGTGGTCAAATTCATACAGATTTAAACTTTAACATATATTGTTAAAACGCCATCACAAAAGATTGTATCACTAATTTACCCTCACAACAACAGTCTATAAAAGAAGGATCTTTTCCTAATACCACTGGGCTGCTGTCAAACTTTTGAGTAATCTGTAATACGATAGCATACAATTTATATGCCGATTTAATTTTCATATGAATCTCTTTGACTTTTCGTAGAGTTGAACATCTTTCACATTTTGGAAACAATGATATTCCTTAGGGTGAAGTTTTCTGTTTCTGCCTTTCCTCATTTTTTGTTTGTTTGTTTCATTTTGTTCTGTTTTCTATGTGTTTGTTGACTTTCTTGAAATGAATCTGAAGAACTCTATATAACAAGCATATCATCCATTTTCTCTTCTATATGTTGCCAATGATTTTTTAAATTTTTTTGAGTTGGAGTCTCTCTCTCTCCCCAGCTGGAGTGCAGTGGAGTAATCTCAGCTCACTGCAACCTCTGCCTCTCGAGTTCATGTGATTCTCTTGTCTCAGCCTCCCAAGTAGCTGGGATTACAGGCATGTCCCACCACATCCAACCAATTTTTGTATTTTCAGTAGAGACGGGGTTTCACCACGTTGGTCAGGCTAGTCTCGAATTCCCGATCTCAAGTGATCCATCTTCCTGATTAAGTGCCAGGATTAGAGGCATGAGCCTCCACACCCGGCCTGGCCTTCAGAAATTTTTATTCAAGCTGCTGGATCTTCCACAGAAAAATTTCAAAAATGATTCACCCAATTATTTTAATCAAGAAGTTTAATAGTTTAATTTTCCCATTTAAATTTCAGCATATCTAAGATTTATCTTTGTGTAAGAATTAAAGTAGAAATGCACTTCAGGTTGCTTTCAAATAGCTATGCTCCTGGTTTTTTGTTTTTTTTTTTTTTCCCCAAGAAAAATGCCACCTTTTTGTGCTAAAGTCATTTATCTTGGAGAGAATTTTGGATTCCCAATCCTGCTTCACTGATTGAGTCATCTATTCCCAAAACACACTCTAGCAGCTGGTATTATTTTATGTTATGAGTCAGCTATTCCACAAAGAAAAGCAAACAAAACTAACAAAAGAGCAACAGATAAATATAGGGCATATAATAGTTTATTTATTTATTTTTGAGATGGAGTTTCGCCCTATTTCCCAGGCTGCAGTGCAGGGGTGCATCTTGGTTCACTGCAACCTCTACCTCCCAGTTTCAAGCAATTCTCCTGCCTCAGACTCCCAAGTAGCTGGGACCACAGGTACATGCCACCATGCCGGCTAATTTTTGTATTTTTAGTAGAGATGGGTTACACCATGTTGGCCAGGCTGTTCTTGAGCTCCTGACCTCAGGTGATTCACCTGCCTCAGCCTCCCAAAGTGCTGGGATTACAGGTATGAGCCACTGAGCTTGGCCAATAGTTTAATTTTTTAAAAACAATTTTCCTGGTACCAATAACTTGGCACGATTTTTGTTATTAGAGTGAGAAGACAAGAAAGTGTCATAGTTATTTCTTTTTTAAAAAAAATTTTTAGAAAAAATTTTTTAAGAGGGACAGGGTCTCCCTATGTTGCCCAGGCTGCTCTATAACTCCTGGGCTCAAGGGATCCTCCTGCCTCAGCCTCCTAACATGCTAGGATTCCAGGTGTGAATCACCAGGCCCAGACAACAGTTATTTCTTATGAGATGAGCATTAATACCGCATGACTATGGTAGCAGGAGATGACCACAAAGCAGCCTCATGTGAGCACTAATGAACAAATCTTAAATCAGCATTATAAATAAAATACAGCAGAACCTTAAAAGTACAATACATCTTTCAAAGTGGGGTTTATTCGAGAATTTGAGAGTTGTTTAACATTTGGAAGCATACATACATTATTCACTAGACTAGTAAATAGGTCACAGGATCCTAGCCTTTTGATAGATGTCCTCACTAAAGGATATTTCAATCACACTTTCAGACAAAGCCATAAAATGCCAGGAAAAAAATAGACAGAATCTCTATGAAGGAAAAGTAAAATTCGACTTCTCCACACTGTCATTTCTGATCTATAAAGAGGATAATATTGGTTCTCTCCATACGCAATTGTATTGTTGTGATGTGAAGCCAGTCACATACATGCAAGTACACATATGAGCAGGTACATAAAGCTGCTAGAAAAGACCCTGGAACCAAATAGATGTGCAAGAAATATTAGTCATTATTACTATTACTACATAGGGATTTAAAGAAGTCTTACATGGATAAGTACGGATGTCCTTTGAAAGAAAGACAACGCTTCACAATGTCAGTTCTACATGAATTAATTCAGACTTGAAATGAAATGTTAATTCTAATGATTTCTTTCAAACATACTCAATTGGTTCTTAGTCTCATCTAGATGAACAAAGAGAGTAAACTAGAAAACTGAGGGAAAAGTCATGGAACAACACTTACGTTACTAATTATCTTTAGTAAGTTTTAAAGATGGGAAATCAGTGCTCTGTAATATGTTGTGGGTCGTGTCTGTAGGATTTTATACACTTGTTCTTATTTGTCATGGAAACTGATGCCTATGTATGCAGATTGATTTCTGGCTTGCTTGGAATTAACTCTACTGTGAATAATTTGTAATTTTGATGGTTATGATTTATGAAAAATAATAAACCATGATACATTAAAAAGGATTATAATAATGATCAGGATGAGGCTGAGATAGTCCTCAGTGTGTAGCCAAGCACAATTGATAATTGGAATCTTTCTCTCCAAACCCAAAATCTTTCTGCACCAGGAGAATGGCTGGAGGAGATCTAGGGGAGACAGTGATGGGTCTTGTTCTTCAGGCAAACATTCCCTGGCTAACCTGCCTGAAACTCAGAGAATGCTTCCCTTCCTAGCTCTCCAGTTGCCCTCCAAGGTCAGGACTTTTCTTGCTCTGAAGGTCTTGGACTTCATGCTGGTTTGGGGGACTTCCCATGCTCTTCCAGAGTTCTGTTGTCTTTGGGGCTCACTTGGTGTTATAAGCAGAGAGGACTTGCCTAGAAACCCCTTATGACATATAAGGCTGCTTAGAATCTGTGTGTATTGTTGCAGGTGAAAAAGCTCTGGAGATGAACCGTGGTAACACAACAATGTGAATGCACTTCATGCAATGAACCGTACACGTGTTTATAGTTAGATGAAAACCGTTAGAATGGTCAATTTTATGTTAGGTGTATTTTACAACAAGTTTAAAAAATGTGGAGGTTGGGAGGATTGCACTCCAGGTGTGGGTTTCTGAACAGTGTGTGCTAGGTCAGGTGGTTCGTCCTCTGTGTTAGGGCCTGCACTGTGCTGAGCAGAAGCACTTTCCCTATTTCTCCTTTCACCCCAGGGTGCCCATGTCCAGAAGTTAAAGCTGTCTGTCTGTTGGTCCGGTGGAAGGTAAAAGAACAGAAATTCATTTTGTTACAAAAGTATCCACTGTTCTGCCTGGATCTGCACTGCCTGGGTGCCCATGTGGAGGAGAATTATACAAAAGAAAGACAAAACACATCCTCACTCTTCCTGTTTCTGCCTTCTGCTTTCCAGCCAGCATGTTCCTTCAATTTTGGGCAGCTCCAGTCACCTAAGTTGAGTGAAACTTTGTAAGTCACATACCCATGCCTCTTCCTAGAGCTTGGAGTCCACCGTACAATAACCCAGAGGGCAGTCAGGAAACCAAAACTGCGACTAGGGCCTGTCCACAGATGGGGCACTCAGCAGGAAAGATTGGAGTGAGGGAACAGGGTTTGCGGACAGAAGTCTTCAGGCCATTCTTTCCTTAGTTAGTGCTCCAAGCACCAAGGATCCAGAGGGGCTGGTCCCAGGCCCCATCATAAAGCACACGTTAAAGGGGAGTCATGGAAAAAAACGGACAGATAGATTAATTAATGTTTTCTTTATTGAAAGAAGTTGGTCTTCTTTGCCCAATTTCCAAGCTCCCTTCTTAGTATTACTAATTTGGTCACATTTTACAAAAGACATTACTGAGCAGGATATTTTAAGATTTTCAGGTGTCCCACATTCTAAATACATTTTTTCAAGTGTAAACCTTTGGGCATATTTATTCTAGATGTGGAGTTTTTGTTTTGTTTTTTAGGAAGGAGAATGGGAGAAAGAACAATGGCTTTCAGATTTAAATATAAATGTCTGAAAATATCTAAATTAGCAGGAGAATATTTAAAGGGAAAATAAATTTATAAGGCTAAGACTTTGAGGAAATGAGAGTAAATGAGATATGTGAGAAATACTCCTTCGAAGATGTGTGCACATTGAAGCAGGGACAAGGCAATGCCCTAGGCATGGGTTAGGGGTCTGGATACTGGGAATATTGCATAGAGGGCTGCCGGCTCCCCTCTTACGAGGTAGCCCTCTCTCTTGCACGTGGATACATCAAGGAGACAGCAAGGAGACCTGATGCTAAGAAGTGGATTTGAAGCTGAGCAGGCTCTGCTCAAACTCCAGTCACATATTCACCAGTGTGCGATATTGAGCATAGCTTAACTATGTGATACTTCAGCCACTTTACCTGTGAGATTCATAACTTTACTCACCTGAAAGGGCTGCTATGAGGATTCAATGGCATGAGTATGTAAAAGGATTAGCATAGTGACAGGCATATAGTAAATTATCAGGGAAGGGAAGTTCCCATCATGTGTCAGTCACAGTCTGTCACCTGCTTACTCCTCCGAAAGGAGGGCATCTGGTCACACCGTGGTCTCTGCTGTGGTTCCCTCCTATTCCCGTTTCTCCAGAATTGACTCTTTCTGTATCAAAGGATTGGAATTCAGATGTACTGCTTTCTGGTAACCACTTATTAAAAAGCAAATCATGATAAAAGCAACCACTTTCATATGGCTGCACCACATAACCTTCTGTGTAGCACTGGCTTTGGACAAGACCAAGAATCTTTGTGTCCCATGTTTATGTCTATGGCCAACTGATCTGTTTCTGTAAAAAGACACTGCCTTACTTACCTGGCGAGACTGGTTTGGTACACCATTTTCATGCATTTCTATTTATTTATGACACTGCACTTAAAGCTTCTGTCCTTCCATCTCCTTGGGGCAATGACCTCGAGAAGGGAAAATCATGCTAATAAGAAAGTTGAGTGTAAAACCACATGTTCTCACTCACAGGCAGGTGTTGAACAATGAGAACACATGGACACAGGGAGGGAGCATCACACACTGGGGTCAGTTGGGGGGCTAGGGGAAGGACAGCAGGGGGTCGGGAGGGTGGGGAGGGATAATGTGGGGAGAAATACCAGATATAGGTGACGGGGAGGATGAAGGCAGCAAACCACCTTGCCGTGTATGTACCTATGCAACAATCCTGCATGATCTGCACATGTACCCCAGAACCTAGAGTACAGTAAAAAATCATAAATAAATAGAAAGTTGAGTGTAAGAGCTGAAACCTCAGGAAGGGCTTTGCCTCACTCTTGAGTTCCTGCCATCTGGATGTTAAGTCTTAACTCTGGTCTTAAGGGTTATTCTTTTCCCTTCTTGTCATGATGTTTTCCCAGATGATGACGGCAGCCATCCAGGATCCCCATCTGTCATGTTCAGCACACGCTCTAGGATAAGGTCGCTTCAGAAGCAGCAGGCCGAAGAAATGATCCCAATGAAGAGCCTACGCAGAGGAGGGAAGACATTCAGCCTTGGTTATCAAAGAGGCACAAGCCAAGAGGGGTACATGGGTGGAAGCAGGAGGGTGGCGTTAAGGCCCAAACCTTTGTTTCATGCAGTGGATGAGGAGGGTGAGTCTGGAGGAGAGAGTGAGGGTGAGGCGTCTGCAGTTCGGTCGAGGTGGACAACTGACCGTGGACACGGCAGGGACTACAGGTCCCACAGTCCTTTGCTCCAAAGAAAATAGTGTTACTATCCACAAGATTTTTTCGGTGTTTCTCAAAAATCTGTCTTCCTATAACTGTGAAAGGAGAATTTCTGAAATTCAGAAGAGAGCTATTGAGTTTGCTGTTTTGAAGCTATTAGACATGGATGTGTAAGCAGCAGGAAGATTTTTTTGGGAACAAACTTGCAGGCTCTGCCATGTTCTTAGTGTGGGATACCTTTTAATTCCATGTGAGTGAGAGAAGTTAATCACCCCAGGAATTAGTCACTAAGAATTCTTAAGAACTTTCCATCAGGAGCATCAGATCCAAGCCATATATTGAGATACAAGTGTTATTGGTTAGTAATTCACATTGCCTATATGCATATGCAACTTATAATCAAATTAAAACTAGAAGGGGCTTTTGAAGTCACCTGACTCAACCCCCCGTGTTTACAGACAAGGCCATCTAGTCCAAAGTTGCATGGTGAGTTCACGGTTGGATTGTCCTCCCTCCAAACTGAAACTAACTTGATTTTGATTTCATATTCAATATGCAATAATTATGTTTTATCAGAGATAAAATTTGTTACGAAGTTGCTTTATTTAATCAGTAGCAATGATAGATGTGATATACACTACAGGATTAATCTGTCAACAGTGGGCTTACCGTCTATTTCATAATTGGAATACTTATTTTAAAAATGAATATCAGAAACAAAACAGCCGTAAACAGACTTTACAGCAATGAAATTAAAAACAGACATTTATTAGGTGTGCATTTGTAGGGTGTGAAATTTTACCCTAGGGGAAGAAACTATTTTTCAATTTCATTTTCCATCCTCATCATCCCCGAACTCAACCTTGAATCTCACACTCCAACTCTTCAATTGTACTAGACTATTTTATCTTTCCTCGCTTTTTATCTTCTCTTCCACCTTCCCTCTCTGCTTCTGGCCACCAGTAGGTTAAGAAACATTTATCAAGCATTGTTATTGGGCCAAATGACTAATCTACGATATACAACTAATCAAATACCCTTTTGCCATCACTATTTTTGACATCTCTACCATCTTCAGCTGGTTTAATCTTATGTGTCTTTAAAGTCCATGATCAAGGCATCCTGCTCTCTAGACCAGCCTTGACCTTCTCCCTTGGTGCCCCCACATCCCTTTGGATGTGCCACGTACCTTATCTGTGGATTATGCCTAGCCATGCACACATAGGTTCGTTCTGGTGGTCAGTGAGCTGAAGGACAGGGAGGAGAGTTTGTTCATTTTAAATTGTATCCATTTATCTGTTGTGTTTTTTATCTCACCACTCTACCTAGTTTGTATTTTTGGGCTTTTTTTTTCCATCTTTTTCTCTTATCAGTTATTATAGTGCCTTGTACATGGTAGATTATCTATAAATGTTAAACTCACAATAGTATTTTAAAGCTGTAACGGGCATTAGAAAAGGTGTTGTCAGACATTTTTATTTTGTAGATGATAAAAATTATATCTTGAGATGCTATTGGATGCCAACTCAGATTTTGCTTTTCCTTGAAGGATGCTTGCTTGTCCTCTAATATAACCCATAGATACTAGTTACTGACTAGACATACGCTTTCTCCTGAATTTTTCTTTTCTTAATGATTTGCACTCATTTTCCTGCTGCAGTCATAGAAATGCCTTCAAAAAAGTCCATTGTCTTTCTTCTTCTGAACCTAAAATATAAAGCTGCTTCTCAATTGTCTAAGTATCTTGATTTTAATAAAAATTATGCACTGTCAAATAACAGTAATCAGCCTAAAGGGATAGAAGCATACATAAAACTCAGGAATCTTTGTTTTTTGTCCTTTTCCTTTTTTTTTTTTTTCGTGGAGATGGAGTCTTGCTCTGTCACCCAGGCTGGAGTGTAGTAGTGCAATCTCTGCTCACTGCAACCTCTGCCACCTGGGTTTCAGCAATTCTCCGCCTTAGCCTCCCAAGTAGCTGCGACTACAGGTGTGCACCACCACGCCTGGCTTATTTTGGTATTTTTAGTAGAGATGGAGTTTTACCATGTTGGCCAGGCTGGTCTCCAACTTCTGACCTCAAGTGCCCACCTTGGCCTCCCAAAGTGCTGGGATTATAGGTGTGAGCCACTGCACCCAGCCAGATTTTGTTCTCTTTGCTTAAAGAAACAAGCAATCAACAACAACAGAAAAAAAAACTGTGCCCCATGAAAGGCAGTGGGCTATTATCCTTAAACTACAGATGGAGATACAGCAGCCAAGAGAAGTCGTCAGAATTCACCTTTCCAGTGCCATTAGGAAAACCAGTTCTTGAGACCTGAAGTGTCCCTGCATCCCTTACTGGACTCCTTCCATGCAACAACAGAAATCCCTTGTGAAGGCCCCTTCCCCGAGCAGCCAGCAAGGTCTAAGAATTAGTGGACTCTGTGTAACTCTCCTGTTTTACTCTGAGATGCTGATCCCATTAAGGTGAGTGGGAGTATGACTTAGTAGAGTAGAACTTCCCCCTTTAGTTGGCAGAGGTCTTCATGGAGTTGTTTAAGGACACTTGTTCACCTAGACACTGACTGGCCATGGCTGTTCAAGCCTGGAAAGAGGCCCTGAGGCTACTTCCTAAAACTTGTGGCAGGTTGAGGGCCCCAGTGATGCTGTGATTCTGGTGGCTCTGTGAGACTTGGAGAGCTCACGGCCAAAATGGCCTCTCTATTTGATCATTCACTACTGTCTGAAAATGCAGTGTGATCGGATCTTCACTCCATACAGTACTCTGAAAGAGCAGTGCACTTGGGAGGTTGGTTGAGTGTACAGAAGCTAGCCCAGGAATGCTCTGGTTGTCAATATCCCATGATGAGTTTTTCCAAAAGGCACCCAGCAGTGCAGCAGAGAGGACATTCTCTTGAGTGTCAAGGAGAGCCTGATGCTTCTTCCCTACTCCCCTCTGAAAGGGAATGAAATTGCATCAAGTTTCCTATTCTGAGCCTGGCTTCTGGTCCATTAAGCAGTCAACATTCTCTGCCAATGGGCCCAAAAAATTTGTTCATTTATTTTCATCCTAAAAAAAATCAGATGCACAACACACACAATCCTAATTTTCCTCTAAGAGTTTTTGTTCTGTTTGTTTTTAATTTCCCCAAACCTATTTATATTATTAGCCTGAAGGGTCTTGGGTTTCAGTGAATTTCTGAAGTTAAGTACCATTTCCTTTTATTTTTCCTATATGGTAGCCTTGCACCTTAAAGATTTGCCACACATTTCTGGTGTTTGGAATATGGTAAATGTTCTTATTCATCCTCCTCAAGTCTGACATGATGTCATGGGCACCTCTCCTGTCTTTAACCTATCTACTAGAACAGAAACATTGACCTAGAAGGGAATCCGCTCTGACAAAGTGGAGAATGAGATTCTGGACACTTTATTATGTTTCCTCTATTCTTTTCCTTCTCTCACAAAGGCTCTAAACTGTGCTTTTCTAAAAAAGTTGAAGGGTCATGGGAGGCAGAGCTGGAATTACCTGAATTTCATGATGAAATTCCTTTTCCTGTGTAAGAAGTGACTACTAAGGCAGAATTCAAGTCTTCAGCCTGGAGTGTTGATTTCAGCTTGCAGAGAAGCCCTGTGAATATTGCCTCACCTGTCAAGACTCCTGACACTATGATCATTTGGATTTTCAATAGTATAGTTATTTCAAAGCCCAGGCTGTGAAATCAGACCACCTGTAGCTGTGAGACTTTGGGGAAGTTAATTATCGTACTTTAAGCTGAAATTTACCAATGGAGAAAATATCTACCTCATAAAATGATTGTGAGGATTAAATGAGATCATATATGTAAAATGCTCAGCTTGGTGTTTTTTTTTTTTTTTTTAATAGAAGAGTTTGATCACTATTAGCTGTAATTATTTAGGCTAAAGTACATATGCTGGCCGGGCACGGTGGCTCAAGCCTGTAATCCCAGCACTTTGGGAGGCCGAGGCGGGTGGATCACAAGGTCAAGAGATCGAGACCATCCTGGTCAACATGGTGAAACCCCGTCTCTACTAAAAATACAAAAAACTAGCTGGGCATGGTGGCACGTGCCTGTAATCCCAGCTACTTAGGAGGCTGAGGCAGGAGAATTGCCTGAGCCCAGGAGGCGGAGGTTGCGGTGAGCCGAGATCGCGCCATTGCACTCCAGCCTGGGTAACAAGAGTGAAACTCCATCTCAAAAAAAAAAAAAAAAAGTACATATGCTTATGAAAGAGTATATACGTTATTTTAATTATGTGAAGAGGTGTAAGTAACTGCTACTGAGACTTCTGAAAGGTAGCTAGATTGGTAGAAGAGATTGCTTATGAAAGAGTATATACATTATTTTAATTATGTGAAGAGGTGTAAGTAACTGCTACTGAGACTTCTGAAAGGTAGCTAGATTGGTATATTTGAGGGAGCTAGGGAGAAGATGTGACAGAAATAGAGAACATCACCGCCTTGATCCCAGCTCTACCTGAACACATCTCTACCCAGCATCCATCAATTAAGAGCAGACCAAAGATGGGGCCTGAATATGGAGTCACATCTTTCAATCAAGCACACCTTTATCTTGATTGTTTTATGTCATTACCTCAAGTATCAGTAATACTGCTTTTTTGTTTGTTTGCTTGCTTGCTTTTGGTATACCCTGGCGTACAGTTCTAATCTTGATTTACTCTCAGAGAGACCATGGCCTTGCTTCTGTATACTGTGATGGGCACACAGTGAGGAAAAGGGAAACTTCTTCATTGAGAAAACACTCAATGGAGTTTAATTCCTCAGTTTGGACTTTCATTTCTGTAAGATACCTTCCCTCCAAAAAAAGTGATTATTTTACACTTGTGAATATTAACTAAAGAAGTAAGTGTTTAAGCACTTTCAATATGAAATAAAATAGTTTCTAATACATTTCATAATGTTCCAAAATTAGGCAAAGTAAACTTTTCTTAATAAATGAAGTCAATGAGTGTGTTGATGTTGTTTAAGGTTTTTGCAAGTATATTTTATCTGCAAATAAAACAGGTGGTTTCTTGTAGTTTAAAATTGTTTTTTTTTTTCTTTTTTTTCTGGCTAAACTCTGTCAAGTATCTCATTTCTAATTCGTCCTGAGAAAACCCAGCAGTGCACACAGAATGCTTCCTTTCAGGACATCAGTCATTGTTAATTGCTAATGGAACCATAAGCTAAGGGGAATAAAAGAGATGCCTGCATCAGTGCTAGCCACTACTGTAATTAGCAAGTGATGTGCCCTTTCATCTGTGCACAATAATCGATTTAATAAATTCTTTTTCTTTCTGAGGCTCTAATGAGCTTTAAGCCAGGGGTACCCAAGTAAGTATGGCAGGTTAGAAATCATAATTTTCATTGCCTAGTCTTTTTCAAGTTGGGGTTTATTCAACAAATTAACTAAAAACCATGTTGTGGACTGAACCAAAACTGTTTCCATAGTAATACAGATCTCAAGGTGAAATAGATGGTCCTAAAATCAAGGTATTTACTCTTGTTCTAAGAAATCAGTCTTGAATAGATAGCCAACATTTAGAGTGCTTACTACGTGCCAGGCTCTATTACAATGCTTCACATACTAGTTTCAGTGCATCCAAAATGAGGGGAAATGAGTTTAGAGATTAAGCAACAGGTCCAAGGTCTCCCTAATTTTAAGAAAGACCTTAGACATCAGGTCTGTCTTGGCTCATAGCCACCGATCTAGATTTCTTCCTTGAGTAGATTTGGGAATTTAATAAGTGACTCAGATTTACACAAAATTCTTTCTTGCTTGGGAAAGATCCAATAGGAAAAAAACAGAGAAGCTCCATCTTGCCAAAAAAGAACTTTGCTTTAAAGTGGACACATAAATACAGTAGAAACTGTTGTTGTTTTGAAAATTTGTTTTTATAAACTTAATGAATGTTGTAAAAATTAGATGACAAGCAAGACTGATAATTTGAGTCATTATGTTTTTGTTTTCGAGGACTCATAAATGTTCTGGTCTGATTTTAAATTGAGTTTTTAAAAATTTCATTTATATGTTGTCTCCAAAGAACTTTTTTCATGGTTCCCAAATGAGTTCCTGGCCAGACAATGTCCACAATTCTTGGCAACGTCAAAACACTGAACTGTGCTATTTACTTAGAATGGACACATAAACCAACGTTTCCACTGAAGAAAATGGAAGAGGATAAGGAGAATGACTTCAACTATTGAAGCATTCATGTAACATTTGCAAAAGAATTTATATTCTTGGCAAGTATTTTGTCAGTAATTGAAATACTATATGCTCATAATTTTACCAAGTACTCTATATATGCACTTTAAAAATTTAATTCTCATAGCAATCTTATGGAGTAGTTATTAT